TGAGAAACTGCTTCTTCCATCAGATCATCATCCATGTCATCATCTTCATCATCCTCATCATCATCTTCATCTTTCTCACTGCCTTCTTCTGCATCATCCACAATCCAGGCAGCCTGGTACTTGGATGTGCCTTTGGGGACCTTCACCACCCTCCTGTTTGCCTTCAGAGAATCTGTGGGATTCCCACCAGTGGTTAATACACGAACAACTCTCCTTCCCTTCAACAACATTTTTACCAGGACAGCCAGAAACTGATCCAGACCTGAACTGCTATTTTTCCAGCACAGAATTTGTCAAGGCAGCCAAAATCTGCTGACTTCCCAGGAAAATCACACAGCAGGCTGGGCACCTGACAGGATTAGGCATGGAAGCCATCCCAACTAGGATGTTTCTGCACAGCCACCATGGTGACAGAAGTTTTTAACAGCCCCCTAAAGAGGGACAAGGAAAAGATACAGAACTATTGCTGCTACTCACCCTCTGCTTCCTGCAGTTCTTCCTCAGTGGGCCACGTCTGCTCCCCTTCCATGGGATCAGGAACCACTTCTGACTGCAGAGACTCCTGCTTGCTTGGATCTGCCTTCAYCAGGACCTTAACATCTTCCTCCATCTCATCAGCGCCGTTTCCAGAGTCATCCTGGAGGGCAAGAGCAGAGTTCTCAGCTCTGAAACTTCCAATCAGCCTTAGTTATGTGGTGACACACTGCACGGCAAGGAACCTCAGCCCAGCAGCAGAACACAGATAAAATGCCCTTTTCCCTCTCCTTGCCCACACACACCCAGTTGTATTTTCCACAATGAAAAGTTTAGAAACCTTGTGTTCTAAGAGGACTGGCAAAGCCCTCACCCCATGTACCTGAACCTCCATGTCCTGACTCCTCTTCTGTCCTTTAACCACTCGTGGRTTCAAAGAGAGGGGGTCAGGGGGTGCATCCACCTGGCTGATCTGGAAGTCCCCGTGCCCCACGATGTGCACCAGGCTGTTCACATTGAGGGTCTGTCCCCGGACAAAGCCAGACACCTTCAGGGTTCCGAGCAGGGCACTGTCCTGGCTGGGCACAAACTCGGCAGCACGGGCGAGCAGGTGAGCGCGGCGGTCCCGAAAAGCCAAGCGCCGCTGCTTCTGGGAGCTGAGGTGCCTCAGGAGCAGCGAGGATTCCTGCTCCGTGTTCAGTGGGAAGAGCTTGGCCTCGGGAAAACGCTTCTCAATGGCTTTGGAGAGTTTCTTCCTGGCATCTATTCTCTTCTTAGGGGGCAGGTCAGTGCCTCCAGGGACAGCGAGAGCTGCCGAGAGAGAACAAAACTCAGGATCAGATCCTAAACCTTTCTATATCCTTTTTACAAAACAYTGGTAAATATTTGGATATCAGCAACCCAAATGGCCAGATTTGCACCACCACTTGTTTCAGTGGTGGCCAAGTAGACAAGGAGCAATGGCCAAAAACTGAAATACAAGAAGTTCCACCTCAACATGAGGAAAAATTTCACTGAAGGTGGCAGAGCCCTGGAATTTATTTACTGCAGATTAAGCACCTCCACAGCCCCCGAGAAGCCTGAAACATTTCTCACCATAACTGGGGAGCCCCTGTGCGAAGAGGCAGGAGAGGCAGTGCTCCCCAGCACTGTCCCAGCCATCCACAGCATCCAGGATGAACAGGAGGGAGTCRGCAACTTTGGCGAGGTCTAGGACAGCGTGAAGGTCCCCTGCACCCAAAACACCTCCATTAGTGGGGCTGCCAGAGGTACCAGAACCAGGAACCCACCCAGCAACAGTGCCTCCTCACCCGCCTGTGCTGTGACAAAGCGCCAGCGCTGCTTGAGCCGGGGACAGAGGAGGGCAAAGCCACCAGCCCTGCCCTCATCCGCACGAACAATGGCCGAGTCCTGGCTCTGCAGCAGACGCAGGGGTTCGTGGGCTGCAGCTCTGCTGTGCAGCACCACCACAACCACGAGGTGCGGGGGCCCGTCCCTGCTGCCGAGGCTGCGCTTCTCCGCCAGCACCTGCGGGCACGAGGGCAGAGCGTGAATCGCAACCCATATCCAGCTCCTCTCCCGCCCCCAGATCAAGACCAAATTGCTCCACATCGCAACCCGAACCCTCGCGGTCCGGTAATGCTCCGCTTGACCAAATCGAACCGGCCCTGGCACCCACTCCTCTCCCCAGCGCAGAACCGGATCCCCCCGCAAAGCCCCGCAGTGTCTCGGTTACATCGCCCACATGAAAATCCGCCCCGACCCCATTCCAAACCCCTTCCAGCAGAGACCCGAACCGACCCGCTTCCCGCTCYCCCCGCAACAACCAGCCCAGCCACGCCCGGTTTCCCGGAGAGCCTCACCGCCTCCTTGCGCTGCCGGCGGAGCTGCAGCGCCTGATGCCGCCGGTCCACCCTGTTCAGGTCACGGAGCCGCCGGCGGGGCTGGGCCTTGACGGGCACGCGGCCTGGGGAGGAAGAGAACGGTCAGGCGGGCCGGGGCCGGCGGGGAACCCGCGGAGAGCCCGTCCCGCCTCACCTCCGGCGCGGCGCTGCGAGGACCCGCTGTGCTTGCCGCCCTTGTGTGCCTTGTTCTGCTGCTTGAGCGGCCCGGGCCGGTGCGCGCCCGCCGCCGCCATCACCATGCTGCCGCCTCGCCGCCACCACCTTGGCGCGGCCACCACGCGTCACTTCCGGCGCGACGGGGACACGCGGGAACCCACGTGGGCAGGAGAGGGAGGGACGGGATGGAGCCGGGAGAGACCCCCGGGAATGGAGAGCCGGGAATGGACACCCGGGAATGGAGGGGGGTGAACCCCGGCGAGAGAAGAGGAGGGGAGGAGAGGCCACGGGGATTGGTGCCGGTAGCGCGGCGGGGCAATGAGAGCCGGGAGCCAGAGCCGTTCGTTCAGCGCTTTATTGGTTGGTTCTTTGTACAGGTATTTACACAGCGAGGGGGACAGGGCCGCGCTCCGGGAAGGGGCCCGAGGGGTGAAGCAGYTGGGGAAAGGCCCTGCCGAGCCTCTGGCATCGCGCCCGGGCGCCAGGGCAGGGCGGCGCTGCTCCCTCCACTAAGATTGATGGAGTGGAAACATTCCTGCCGTGCCCCGGCCCGTCTGWTACCGGCAGCGCGGTGACCTCGCTCTTGCCAATCATTATCCAGCCRGGAATGTCTGTTCCCAGGCAGAGCCCTCAGCCGTGCGCAGCCCCGATGGGACATCACCCCAAACACCACAGCAGAGCCCCTGCCCGGGATCATCCATCCCTTASGGATACAGCTCTCTGCTGGTTATGGGAAGCATTAGGGCCACAGCACCCCAGAAACACGTGGGTGAGCAGCGAGGTTAAACATTCACAGGGGTGTTGCAATTGCCAGTAAAGYTGAAGCAACCCCAGGGGAGAGGCAGGGCAGCTGCTACTCCCATCCCGATTGAGCAACTGCACGGGAAGGGAAAAGCAGGTTCCTACAGGCTCCTGCTGCCTCTGAACTTGAGGCATCTTCCCACCTCTTCCTCCTGTGAGGAAATCAGCRTGACAGCAGCAGTGTGGGGTTGTCAGCTGTCAACTGGACTTTAGGGATCCTTCTCTACCCCTAAAAGCAGACTGGCTGTTTAAACCTTTGAAACTCTAAATTTGAGCATGTACTACCTGAGAGGAAGACACAAAAATTAAAGAGACTGATGACAGATAAACACTGCAGTGATTAAGTCTCTCTATACAGGAGCCCACCAGCTGTGGGACAGCACGAGCATCTCTCCACTGTCCCTTCCAAAGGCTGTTTGTCCTTTAGCCAAGACAGCCCAGAGCACTGCCACAGCTCTGCCTTGCAGAGCCAAAGGCAAAGAGGCTGCCCAGAGGGGSCTCAGGGAAAGAGGGAATAACTAGAATACTTCTAAATCAAGGAAAACATCCCATGAGTTGGTTATACCTTGTCATTTAAGCAAGACTAGGGAAAGGAGRAAAGCTGGAAACTTTCTTCCTAGGGTTATCACAAAGCCAAATACTTCTGCCTCCCAGTCATCCAGAAGTGTGGAAACCCAGAAACAGCCAGAAGGGTGCCACRATGGAGGCTGATGTTGCTCCAGACCTCAGAGCTGCTGAGATCCGCTCTGGCTTTCCCACACATCCATACACTGCCASCTTACAGGGATTTTACTGACCTTCACAGTCCTGCAGGGCCCTCCACACACACACTTCCCAAAAATTCACAACCTGCTGAGCTGMGCATGCAGGAGCAGAAAGCCAAGCAGTGCCTCACTGGCTGACAGCATTCCAGGTGAAAACAAGCATTCCTGTCAAAGCAGAAACTACCAAAGAAATATGGATACGGCCACASTGTGAGCAGGGAAGAACCCTCCAGCAGTTGGGATGTAAATCCCTGCAGCAAGGCAAGCCCTSGCAGGGGGAGGGCTCCCTTCAGCTCTCCTGCACCATCACAACACAGAACCTGGTGCTCTGCACACACAGGACACTGTGGCAGCACCTGCTCAGCACCACCTGTCACCCACCTTGTCCCCTCTGCACCATCTTCTCCAAAAATAACAGGCTTTGTATCATAGCACAAAACCCAGAYAAGCTGTGCTGTGAGGAGTGGAGCTCACAGGCTGCTCCAGCCCTGGCTGAATGCCAAAAAGCAGCTGCACTGCAGGAAAGCTGAGCTCACATTCCTGTTCCCTAAAGGTTCCACTTCTGAAGCAGCAAGAACTCTGGGCTGACTCCACACAGGGGGAACAACAAGCTGGGGCAGGCTGGATGCAAAGCCATGGCCTGTGTTTAGGAAGGAAGACTGGTTGCAACTGGAAGGGCCAGTTTATTAGAGAAACCTCACATTGCAGAGAAGTCACAACACATTGGAGAGGGTCCAGGCCTGCTGAGGGGGGCCAGTCTTCTGCAGCAGCACAGATCTACATCCCCCAACCCCAGCAGGTGCCACACAGGGAGGGTTACCTGTAACACAGCTTATGTTTTACAAGCAGCCTGAGAGAGCCAGTAGTAAAGTTCAAAAAAAGCCTCCCCGTTAGACAACAGTTAAAACAAAAATGGTTTAAAATGTTTAAAAGCTCCGTGTTCTTGGCTGCAGCATAAAGGGGAGGCAAAGGTCTACAACACACACAGGCCTCCGTGGGTCTGGGCACTCTGATCTACCAGTGAAGGCCGGAGGGAGGGGTCTTCTCATCTTTGTTGCTTTCCAGGGAAAAGGGTGGGATTCGGACATCAAAGTGGGAGCCATCAGGCCTCTCAAATCGAAAAGTGCCCCTGCAAAAATAACGGCAGAGATCATCCTGAGGCCAGGGACAAACACGCCGAGGAAGCATCAGCAAGGTGAGACCTGAGCTCTTCCATATCCTGGGGATCCATCTGCAAGGCAGGTCCAGCAGCAAGGACATGGGCTCAGCATCAGAAACCTCTGCTGCCAAAACGACTCATTTATGGAGGACTCCTGGGCAGTTTTTCATCACATCCCTAACACATGTCCTGCACAAAGCTGTGATGATTGCAGCCCACAGGAGTCAAGTGCCCTCCACGCATTTGCAGCAGTGTTCACCCAACTCCYACTCCCCAGGAGACAGAGCCATCTGAGCTGTTTTTACAAACTGGTAACACGTCAATTCCAATTTGTATTTCTTGGCAGAAACTCCACTGTTCGTCCATGACATTAAGAAATCCCATCACAGATGTAATTTGGAATAGCTTCTGCTTTGCATTTCAGAACTGAACCTGCCTGACCTGCTACAACCATTTGTTTACTGCTYCACACTACTGATGACTACTGCAGATGGGCAAGAGGATTGTGCAGATAAATTAACAGGTTCTCAGGACACAATCCAACACCAGAAGTCAGGCTGAGCAGCTTCTGAGCTGCAGAACCTTTGTCTCTTTTTCTTCAGGATGTATGCAAAGAAGGAAAAACTACTAGACCATCTGGTTTTATTCCCCAGAGCATGCAATCAGGCAATTTGAAATGCTTGACATGGCAAACGAGGTATACCCGATATGCAAAAAGCTGCTCTCCTGCTCTTCCCAGCTCAAAGGCAGCTTAACTCTAAAGCAGATGTCCTTAAAAATGCAGAAATACCTGTCATACAGAAGGCAAGAGGTGGCTGTGCAATCCTTGTCAACACAGAGGTGACACTAAATGTGCTTAACCCAGCCAAAAGGCAAATAAAGGGAAACTGCTTTAACCCCAAGGCACAGGAAAAGAACAACTCAGCTGGACACTTCCCTACCTGCACTTTTTTCAGAAGAAGAGACTTAAACACCAGTTAGACTGAAGGCCTTATCTGGTCTAAACTGGGAAAAGCCCTGCATGACAATTTCTGACACAGAAATGCACAGGGACAGAGTTAAAGCCCAATCCTCTCCCAAGAGAGGGACAACCAGAGCACACATCCCCGCTGCTGAGGGAATCACCAGCACAAGGYTTTGGCTCTTGCACTCAGGACTGAAAGGGACAGAAGCTGAGTACAGCAGGTGATAGAGAACTACTTCATGTTTTCAAACCTAGTCTAGCACAGACCACAGCAAGAGCATAAATTAGCCTGGAACCTCTCCTGATGCAGGGAATCAACAGATCATCTCATCACTGACTGGGATACAGCTAGAAAGAAGCTCATCAAATTTTAGCTAGAATGTCTGTCCTGTCCAGACCACTTCCACCCAGCTTTCAGCCACAACCCCAAGTTGCAAACTGCACCTCAGCTCACTGTTGTGGGGTCCTTTACTGCTGCAGCAATACGGTTTTCTTACCACATGTGACCACTGGATGCCTGCAGGGAGACATGGCTGCTGTACTGAAATGCTGGCTGTTCTTTGGACAAAACTGGCTCCTGAAAAGACAAGAGACCATTGGTCATCAACAATTCTACCACAGATAGGCATCAACAGATAATTTATATAGGATGAAAAAACTCCAGAGACCTACACATCCCAGCACTTCTGCCAATTACACAGCAAATTATTTGTCCAGTGASTAGTGCCAGAATGCTGTTATTATTCTAGTTTTCACATCACCAGTCATTTAGGATCATTCTTTAACACTCAGTGTGACATTTCGGTTCATGCAGACAAACAACAGATCAAAAGCTTCTCTGACTTTTTAGTTTCCCGTTTCTCACTCCGTGTATTTCCAATGCCCACTAAGCAATTCACTGAAAAATCCACCCAGCCAAGCAAGAGGACTCCAGCAAAGAGCTCTGCTTCCCAAAAAAAAAAAGCTGTATGGTACCTACCCTTCCTACAACSCCACGGCCCCGGACTGTTTCCAAGGTGCCAGACAAGCTGAATATCCTCCAGTGCCGTTCTCGGAGCTGCACCACTTCACTGTCCAGGTTCTCCAARCGAATACAGTAGCGCCACTGGACAGAAGAAACACTGTTATCAAGAACTGGAATCAGCTGCAACTAGTTGATAACCCACAGCTGATACTGGGAAACAGTTGCCAAGGATGGGCTACTTTCCCTCAGAGCTTATCACACAGYAGTGATGCCACAGCAAATAAACTCCTTCCCTTTAGCTGCTCCGTGAAACAAAAGGCAACTTACCCAGTAGACATGGGAATTCTGGGCTTCCTGTCAAGAGAAACAAAAGACTTTAGCAGCTGCCCTTGGACACTCGGTGCCAAAAACCTCTTCAGCTGTCGGCACAGCACCGGCACAGGGGCTCTCACTCCGTGCCAGGGTGACGCAGACAGCTCACATGAGCACAGACAGCTGCTCTCTGAGGCCTTCCATCAGCAGAGCCTGGCACCAGCTCTGCTCTAAAGTAATCATGAGGTGGGAGAACTGCAAGGATCCCGTGACAACCCAGGGTTCATCTCCATGTTAATTACGCACTTTCTACAGATCAAGATACACCCYTTTCCTTGCCTTCAGGCACCTGTTTTTCTGACAAGGTTAGGACAAACATCAGTTGGGCCCCACAGAAGTTGCAAATCCACACCAAAATGTGYATCAGGGCACAGGCTCCCCAACAGCCAAGCTCAGAAATCAAACTGTTGTGGAAATTCCCAGCTCTACCACTCAGGAGCCTGTTGGAGCCACATTGTTTTGGATGGTCCACGTGAAGTTCTGTTCTATAAAGCGCACATGGTTATCAGCTAAAKCCAGAAGGTTTTAGCCAAACCCTCTAAGCCAAAGTAGAGGGAGGAAACRGGCAGGCAACCACAGCCCATCACTGGGCAGGATAACAGACGTGTCTGTTGTTACAGAGCAGATGGTCCCAGTGTCATCTCACATGACTGAGGCAGTAACAAGACCAATTCACAAGCCTTCCTAAATATCTTGCTAGCACTGTTATGCAGAGCATTACAGGCTATTTTCCATCCTACTGATAACCAGCAAAAGCCAATATGCAGGAGCTGTTCCCCAAAAATGCACAGCAGAAGTTTCACATTTACACCCAAAAGAATGAAATCGCAACTGTGATTAAATGTCACTTCTTCAGAAAGCAGAAGGTACCTTCTGGCAGCAAACTGGTCTGACAAAAAAATGCCAGTGAAGCAAATGGCAGAAYTAACAGAGCAGCTCAGACTTACCCTCATGCCCATGTAGAAAGGGATGACTGTGACACGGATGTTCTCCGTGGTTTCTCGGTGCACATCCGAGAGCTCCAGCCAGGGGTGGTTCTTCTCCTGCCACGCACACAGAGTATCCCTTGCTACAAAAGGTGGGACTGTGGGGAGGGAAAGGTGAGGGTTCATGGGGAGAGGCAACACTGTAGCTGGAGTGCTCTTCCCACCAAACAATTCTTTTCACTTAGTTAAGAAGTATTTAAAGGCAGCTTCACTGTAAAACCCTAAGCTGAACATGGTTTTATACCATATCCAAGATGATAGGGTTTGGGTATTTGCAAGAATCTGGCTCTGAAGAATTCCCTGTGAAGCCAGAAATTACCTTTTGTTTGGTCGTACATGAGGAACCTCTCAAAGAGCTCATGCTGGATGGGCACTTGATCAGTGGAGCTGTAGGGAAGGATGTCTTCATGGCTTACATAGTCTAAACCTGAAAAACAAACCCCAAAAGCCATTGAACTTCCCCAGCAAAGAGCAGCTCAGAAGTCTCCTGACAGAAAAACGCATCACACCAGTGAGAAGAAAAGGACTTTGGCAACAAAAGCCAAAGCTAATATCACAACTGCAAAGAAGAATGGAGAAGACATGCCAGGAATAACTTTTGGCAATGTTCTCCCATGAGATTTTTCATGGAATGACTCCTCTGACACACTGCTCTGCAATGTCTGCACTGCCCCAAAAGCACTTTGGGCAGGAAATGCCCAGGACAGGAATAAATCCAGCTGTCCTGAAGACAAAGTAGAACGACCCACAAGCAACTTGGTATGGGATCTGTGTCTCAACAGCTCAGGGATCTCTGTGTCTGATCACAGAGCTCCAACTTCCAGCTCTCCAAAGGACTTCCCATACTTCAGTCACTGTTGTTTCCAACACAACTGTAAGTTATGGACAGATCCACTACAGGAACATCCTGTAGGAAYTGCTGCTTTACTCACAAGAGTTAACCACTGATGACTCTTCTGACCTCACTTGATGACAATCAGAGGCTGCAGGAGGAGTTTGCTCACCTGGGATGGCATAGAGGGCTCTGCTGTCATCATGGTTTGCCAGGAACGTCACTGCTTCCGTCTGTGATCTCTGGGACTGAGAAACAGGGAGGTTTATATCTTTCTGTGTGGATTGTTGCAGGACAGTTTCCAGTCATATTTCAGCTTACTTTTGTGGTTTATAAAGCATGTAATGTTTATTTCATTTAACCAATTCACCTCAGAMCTTCTCTCCTTTTAATTCCTCGACTAATTCTCCACTCAAACAAGTGAGGAGCATTTTCAGTGCTGCAGCCCACATTCCTAATGACCTGCATGCAACAGTGTAGGAAAAGCACCAGGATGAGGAAAGGAGATTGGAAAGGGGAAACATGATCCAGAAAACAGTCAMATGACATTCCAGATGATCTTTCTCAAGGAAAATATACCTTAATGAACATATTTGACCAAAAATCTTAACCAATCCTGTTGGCCACAAAGCCATTTCTTTTCAGTGCCTGTCCCTCTGAACCATTTACACAGGGGAAGATATTTGAATTTCAATACCAAAATTACTCGTTACTTACTATATGTGGACAATCCCGGGCATCTATTAACACCTGGTAGTAAGTGTGTGTTTTGCCCTTGACCTCTTTGGAACCATGGCCTGCCACATTCTCGCTCCTGAAGAGAAAAGCAAAGCTCTGAGCTCAAGCACAGTCCTGTTACCAGAACCAAGAAGCACTCATAAAAAAAAAAAAAAAAAAAAAAAAAAACAAACAAACAAAAAAAAAAAACCCAACAACAACAAAAAAAAACAAAAGCAAAAAAAAAAAACACCCAACAATAAAACAACACATTTCACAGCCTGTAATCATTTGGTTGCATCCAAACCAAACCCCCATCAGCCAGCCACACAATGACAGTTGAGCCAAGATGACCATCAGTGGTGTTTGGCACAGAGGTTTTTCCTGCTCAGTCAAGACTCCTGTCTGGGGTGGAAATGCCCACAGCCCTCTGATTTTCTATCTGCTTGATCCYCACTCCTTCCCAGAACACCATGTCACGGGCCAGGGGGAAAAGGATGCAAGAGGGGAAAGAAATGAACAGCAACTCGAGGATAAACTTTCAACCTAGTAGGTTGAAATTGAAGAGGAAGCTGACAAATCCAACTCGCTGGCAATCTACAGCAGCCTGCAAAGGGTAACGCAGGAGCCTGGACCTTATTCAAAAATGCTGGTTTTTATAACACAAAAGGCCAGGAGCATGATTTTTCAATTAATTTTTATTTCCTTCACACACATTTATTCTTCATACTTCCATCCTGACTCTAATTAAGACAAAATCAATACTCATGAAGTGTCTGTTCTCTAAGCACTTAGTTTACACTCACACAAACAGACCCATGCACTGTCCTGCTTAAAAACACTTGTTTACCCCAAATAGGACACTCATTACAAAATGTAAATGTAACAGTACAACAACATGAACCAGAACAAATCCTCAAATCCTTACTTTTCTGTGACAGGAGAAGCCACATCCCGATCATAAAGCCTGGCTTGCCAGGGAAACAGGACTATTCCTCGATAGCCAAACACACTGTGAAGGAAGAGCTGGAAGGAACAAATAATTGCAGTTGAATTATTTTAAAAATCTTATAACTGAGGTAAAACTACAAACAGTTAAAAAGGGTTTAATGAGTGGGATGGGGATACAGGGAGGATCACACTGAGACAACCCAGAGCAGAAACAGGGAACACAAACRGTTTGGGATGGGAGAAGAAATCCATGTTATGTCGATCATGGAACAGGGAAGGACTAAACCAGCAACGCAATAATAGAGCAACAGAAAGGAGAGACTGCTCAGAAACAGATCTGAGAGTCTTAAGGACAGGAATTAAAACTTTAGTTGCTATTTCTCTAATTCAGTGATTGTCTGTTTGGATCCTTGAGGGAGAAAACCCCAAAACAGGACCAGTGGAGCAAATGCCATTGTAGAGCAGTTGTGTTGTGCTGCAGATTCTTATCAACGTGCTATTGTCAGATGACTAACAAACTGCAGACACAGCACAGACAAGGAGCACTGAACTGTGAAACTCCTGGCCTTCTGCTGGAGAGATTTTCCTTATGGGAAATCCCTCAGCTGCCCAATCCCGGTGGCACAAGCCTGCASGGTCAGCTGCACCCCCAGAACTCCTTACCTGGCCTGTCTCGTATTTGCCGTGCTGCTTCGGGGCYTCAAACACCCCCACAGTCTCCAGCACTTTGCCCTCGGGACGGTTCCTTAGAGCAGAGAGGCGGCTTGGAAGGTTTGCAGGGGCTGAAGCAGCCCCCAGGCCAGGGGGACACTGCTCCCCACCTTGTGCCTCYCTCGGGTACCCCACAAGAGCCCCACCACACATTGGGCTGCCCAATCCCACTCCCTTCACTGCCCTTTGCCAGTGTTCMCTTTCCCAACTGGCCTGGGCACCCTCACCCAGTTGCCCCTTTATCTCTCTCCCGTATCTCACTCTCCCATATCTCTGCCTTGRCAGCCCCCCAACTCCTTTCCAGTTTTCCCCAAGTGACCCAACAGCCCCCAACCCACATCCTACCCCCTTCCCAATCACCCTAATCCCCAAATACCTTCTCACTCTTCCCCAACGACCCAACTGCCCTCACTCTGCACCCTAAACACCGCCTGCGAGTGTCTACCCCCTCCCAATCACCCTCAAACACCCCCTCACCCCCTACACCCCCCGGGCCCCCCCTCAACACCTCACAGGCCTCACCGCGACGAGAGGTGCCGCCGCGGCGGCAGCAGCAGCGGCAGCGGGAGCGCCGCGGTTCCCCCGGGCCCCACGG